CCCCCCTTTTTATTTTCTCTCCCCAGGTGGTTTCAGCAAGTTCCAGGCCGAGTTCGCCCTGCACTGCGAAACTAACCTAGACAGTTCGTGTAGCAGCAGCTCTCCTCCTTTGCCAGTCCTGGGCTTGGGAGGCCTCCGAATCAGCTCCGATTCCTCATCAGACATTGAATCTGACATTGACAGAGACCCCAACAGTGCCACCGACTCCGATGGCAGCCCTCTCTCCAACAACCAGCCTTCCTTCCCGGTGGAGATTTTACCCTACCTCTACTTAGGCTGTGCCAAGGACTCCACGAATCTGGACGTTTTAGAAGAGTTTGGCATTAAATACATCTTGAATGTTACCCCCAACCTGCCTAACCTCTTTGAAAACGCCGGCGAATTTAAGTACAAACAGATCCCGATCTCTGACCACTGGAGCCAAAATCTGTCTCAGTTCTTTCCTGAGGCCATCTCCTTTATAGGTGAGACCCGGTTATTTGCTAACGGCTGTATGTCAAGCGGCAGAATTCAGTTTCTTTTCAAGTATTCACGAGATTTCGGGCGAGAAGCGGTAGCGGCGTTTCTGGCAGTCTCCAGGGGATGCCCCGCATTCCGGTCCTAAAGCCGGCTGAAGCTGAGGGGCGGGTGGGGGCTGCGTGGGGGTTCATTGAGGAGCCCCGGTGCATTTGTAGGCGGTGTTTGCCGGTTGCAGACGTGTGCCTGGTTTGGCCGGCTGTGGGATTCCTCCCTGAGCCGTTTGTATCGGAGCTGGGGACTGGGCAATGCGCAGGATGGGGCGGGGGGGGAATATTTTTAAATCTCTTCCTGACAGGGTGGGAGGGAGGTAAACGAACCCGGGGTCGATAGCTTATTCGTCCTTTTTTGTGTGTGTGTGGGTTTTTTTTCTTCTTCTTGAGGTTACTGAAGAGCAGTATAATCAAAAGAAACGATCTGGGGAAGCTAACTTTAGCTTTTAAATGCAAGTTATTCATAACCCGTATCCCTGGCTAATGTATAGTCAGAGCTTTAATTAAATCTCGTGGTAATAATGATATACCTCTTGGGCTCGGTGCCTCGGTTAGCCAGCCCTTAAGACATTATCCGTCAGCTTTGGAAACACGTCCCCTTGGGCTCAAGGAGTTCTGGTTAAAATCTGCGCCCTCCTTCTTTTCGGGGAGGACTAAAATCACCCCGTCGGGGTGCGGTGGAGTGGGCACCGCATTATCTGTTGGGAAGCTGTCCTGTAATCCGGTTGAATGATACCGGTAATAGTGGAGAATGTAGGTAATCTGAGCCCAGCAGGAAGAAATGTGGGCTGGAAGCCACAAAGAAACTAATCTCCAGGCATTGTAATGCATTTCCTATTACAAAGGAACCCATTTTCAACCAATGTTGACAGCCTGTTCCTCCTAATGGGCTGTCCCCTGTGACTTCCCTCATTCTTTTAAAATGCTTGAATACCTCCATTGTTAGCTGCACAACAGTTGGAGAATAATTTAATAGACCTTTGCAGTCTGCTGGTCTGTATAAAAGGCATTCAGTGACATATTGCAGGATTTCCATGCTGGGGCAAGGGGACTGTAAGAATTTAAGGCAAATCTCCAGGCGAGAGCGTGTCTTTCAAAACTGACTTTTGAAACAGTGTCATGCATCGTATCCTGCTCCCTTTGTCTCACTCTTAGTTTTCTCAGCCGTTGGACTCTCTGGCAGATATACGTAGGGGGGTGGATTCTCCTCTTGTCCTGGTTTTAAGCCGGGGAAGTTAACTCTTGCGTTGCATTGCTGGCCACTGAGATCAGAATCGTCCTTTCTCTCTGCTTGATACTCATCTCACTTGTGTTAAGAGATCGGTTACCAACTCCCTGTCTTACGTGTCCTTCTGTGCCTCTTTGTCTCTGTACAGATGAAGCACGGGGGAAGAACTGTGGCGTCCTGGTGCATTGTTTAGCAGGGATCAGCCGCTCGGTCACAGTGACGGTGGCCTACCTCATGCAGAAGCTCAACTTGTCCATGAACGATGCCTACGATATCGTCAAGATGAAGAAGTCCAACATTTCGCCCAACTTCAACTTCATGGGTCAGCTGCTGGACTTTGAGCGGACTCTGGGGCTGAGCAGCCCCTGTGACAATCGAGTGCCGAACCAGCAGCTGTACTTCACCACCCCTTCCAACCAGAACGTCTTTCAGGTGGACTCCCTGCAGTCCACGTGAGCTCCCACCACCTCCCTTCTGTCTGTTTCACGGGATCACTCCTCAATGGTTTCTCTTTGGCAGTGATAAAGCAAACACAGCTTTCTCTTTTTCTGGCCTATGCTATCAAAAAGCAGCTGCCAGCGCAGGCTAGGAAAGGTTACACAGTACAGCATCGGCTATCGCGAAGGGAGGGAACGTGGTGAGCTCTCCGGGCAGGACTGTGGTGACCAGGCGGCCAGTGGGCAGTGCGCTCATCCCCACTCAGGCAGTGGCTTGGCTCCGAGGACTTCCAGAGGGGTAGGGGAAGGCTGGACAGGCTGAGCACGTGTTCTCCAGACACCGGAACTGTCCTGCTTCCCTCTCTGCTTTCGGATCTGTGACATGCGTCTTTGTCTTCAGTGAAGACTGATTATTTTTGTTTGTTTGTTTTAATTTAGAGGAGCCAAAGAAAGAGATTTCAGCTTAGTGTATTTGGAGTACTTGTTTGCTGGGAGCTTGGTAGTATTCTACTTGATCGATGTAAATATTTAATCTTAAATGGATTTGCAATTCTTTTTTTTTGAATTCACATGTATTCAAGAAATCAATCCAAGGGACATCTGTGTTTTTGTTCTCTTCATAAATTCTGCTTTATTTGTTTGTTCTTTATTTTTTTTAATTGAAAAGAATATATTTGCAGCATGCTTAATTTTATTGTTCAACTGAAGCAAGGTTTCCATGAGGGAGAAATGACAATGGTGAGAAGTTTTCAAATCATGTTTTGTGAGCAAGTACCGTCTCTTTCATATATCTTTTTCTTGTGGTGATTTTTTTTCTCACACTCTTGGTGTAGTTTCCACATGATATATATTTTTTAAATTAAATTAATTTTTTGCCTTACCTTTTGTAAATAGATCATCTGGGAAGAGGTTTGTCTTTGAATGCGAAAGATTTTTGATCACTTTTTAAAACTTTCGGATGTGCTAAGCAGTGCATTACCTCTGTACAAATTCTTCAGGGAGCTTCACCTCAAATGCAATATTTTGCGTCTTTTTCTTTTTTTGTACAAAACTGGAAGTATGTGTGAGCATTTGTACCTGCGTGTACACACAGTGAACCTGCACACTGTTGCCAATAAGGGAGAGTCTAATTCACGGTGTAAAAGTTTTAAGATGGAATTTATTATAAGAATGTAAAACCTTAAATTATTAATAAATAAATAACTATTTTTGGCTATTGAGAACCCGGCTGGTTTATTCCTTCTTTCCCTCTGTGTGGGTGTGGTTAATTGCACTTACACATATGGTTATGTTTAAAGGTAATGATTGCTTTCAATAGCTTTTATACAGCTGCTCAGACAATAAAGCCTTGATTTCCCCTTTGGTCCGCTGGTGCCTAACTGAATAAACTGGATTCTTGTCTTGATTTGGTGAAGGGAATGCTTTTGAAGGACTTCAGGTTAATTGCAAAAGACTCTGGCATCCCTTTGCTACCCCAGGGATGCACCTAACCCTGGGCCACAAGGATTTTTTTTTTTTTTTTTTTTTAAGAGTAAGAAGCTTTTTTCTAGGGTTTGTTTACAGGTTTTGGCCACTTTTGTTACAGATGTCAGGAGATGGGTTCATGTCCTCCTTATCTGTGTGGCAGGAAATCATTTCACAGAGATCCATCAACAGTCTGCAGCCTGTAAATGATTTTTCTATTGCTGTTCAGCTACGTTGCAACTGAACAGGTGAAGGTAAGGAGGAAAAGTCAATACGTACCCTTAGTCACCTCATTTCTTCTTTGGACCCTTCAAGTAATCCTGCCTCTGCAGCAGGAAAAAGGGGGATTATAGCAATTGCAAAACTTCCTGCTGCAGTTTATTAACATCCTTCCTGATGAGAGGTGGCCCAGGGTAGGGTGGTGCCAAAATCTGCGTGCAGTACCACGGTGACGGGCTGGTGCTGCAGCTGGGGCTGTCGGCTGGGGTTCTGCAGAACTCCTGGCAGGCAGAATGCATTTCAAGTAATTTTAGAAACTGCAAGTGTGTGAAATGAAAAGCAAGCAAAACAAAGGAAAAAAGTGAGTCAGTGTCTCATGCAGTAGTGGCCTAGATTGAGTGCATAAACTGTGAAAGTAGAAGTGGGTTGCAGTTAAACTTGGCTTGTGCTAATCCAGTTTTGAACGGTTTCCGCTCTTGGCATTCCCTGTGCTGCTCTGTTCAAAGTGGAGATTTGCAAGCAGCTCTAGCAATTTCCTGTCCAGCTGCAGCTCAAGCGACTCCCTTGGTTTTTTTCTTTCTCCTGTATTTTTTTGTTTTGTTTTGTTTTTTGTTTTAATACGGCCTGTGGATAATTTTAGCCAGTTTCCTCTTTGTGGATTATTAATCTGCTTTCCTTGTAGAACCTACATAGCTCATTCCTACTGTTCTGCTGAAGTCAACAGATGGCCTCCCCGCCACTTCCTCTCGTTTCGCTGTGGGTTTGGTGTCCTGTGGGTTTGTTGTCAGGCCACTTCTGAAATTAATAGTGTTTTCTGGCCGGCTGCCACAGGCCATTACCACAAAGGGGAAGTAACACATCTGAATAGCAGGAAGCCGGGCAGGGTCACAGCGTGAACTGAACCTGTTGAGCGCAACCGGGCCTCTCCCGTTCGGCAAGTGTCGGGCTCCTCTTCCCTCCCCCTTTTTCATACGCCTTGCACGAGAACGGGCTGGTGCCGAACGCCTCAGCTGTTTGCACCGGGCAAATATTTCCAGCTGAATGAGTTGCAAATGTGAATTGTGACTAGGTGCCTGTTAAGGTGATGGAGCAGTGTGCAGCCATGTAGCCTAGGGCAGGAGCGCCTTGGCTTTCTTTGCAAGCTGCTTTGAAAAGTTAGTGCTCACAAGGGCTTCCTGCTTCCTTCCTGCTTCACTGAATGACTAACACCAAATGGGTACTTCTGCAATTCATCATTTTTCGGGACAAGCAAGCAAAGACAACCAGCTTTGCTCACACACACACACGCACACACAGCAAAGTCAGGCAGAAAACTTCTTCCGGATTTTTCCCTGAGTGGGGCCTGAACCAGGGCTGTTAGAAACTCTGGCTGAACTTGAACCAGGATTGGGTGAGAACAACTTTGGTCACAGACAAACCCAAGCCAACACTGGAGCCAACCCAAAACCTGGTTCAACCTCTGATTTTGCTCGGGGTGTTTGCACTCACTCATGTGCTGGCGCTTAATTACAAATGGTTTGGAGGGAAAAACAGCAAGGGGTCTCAGCAGCAACGCTCACCCTCTCCACACAGGCTCCTGGGTAACTCTGCCCCAGCATGGTGAAGGGAATGGTTCATGCCACGCGAGCACTTGCCATCTTTTCTGAGGCTGGGCTCTGCTTGTTGATGCAGTTTTGTCCCCCGCCCCCCCCCCTTGGTTCGAAATAACTCGCTTCCTCTCTCCCCTCCCTCAGTTCAGTCCTTGCTGGGATGGGGCAGAGGTCTCAGGCTTCTGGGGGGTTTGGCAGCTATTGCAGTTCCTCAGCTGGTAAAGTAATTTGTAAAGGGAAGAATAAATCCTTTGTGCCTGTAGGGACAGGCCTGATGTGTATAGGGGAAAGGGGAGAAATATCCCCCCTTTGCAGCTAAAAAAATCACAACCTGCTTCATATTATAATGTGGGAGAGTGAGGTACTGAATTCCTTCAGAAGCTATGGAGATATTAGGAAGGAAAACTGTACCGTCAGGAGCGATCAGAGCTTGCTCACACAACCCATCTGTGCCTATAACACAAAGGGTGCCATTGTGTCCCGTGGCAGCCATGTCCCCTTTGCTCTGGTAAGGCCAAGGTTCCCTTCAGTGTTTGGGTGCACACTGGCTCTTCACTTTCCATTTTCTGTGCGATAATGTTGTGTTGCTCATTGCTCTGGTTCCCCTTCTTGCATTTCCTCTTTCCCACTCACACCCTTTCAAGCCACTCTATGGCCACCTTCAAAATGTCTTCTACCTCCTTCTGGTTTTTGGTTGTTTTATCCATCGCTTTCTCTTTCCCCATTCTCTTTCTTGTCCTTTTTTAATGCTGCACTTCCCCCCTTGCCTTCTTCCATACCTTTTCCTAAGCTCCATGGTCTGTCTGTCCTTTTTAATTTTCTTACCTGGTCTTTTTTCCCTCTTACTCTCTTCCTGTTTTTCTCAGGTTTCCTAAATATGCTCCACTTTCTCCCAGCCTTAAGAGTCCCTGTTTCTCTTTGTTTTCACAGTGAAAAATAGGATAAGTCTTGTAGAGTCGGTCAGTTTTAGTGAGCTGTAGAAAAGGTGTATAGAAAAGGAAGAACATACCACTGCTGTCCTCTTGCCACTGCCAAGCAGATGATCTTATTCCCCACCTCCATTTTCTGTCACTAGATAGGTTTGGCTCTCCGTGGCTTCCCCGGGTCCTCTCTGTATAGCACCCAGCACCCCACTGCTGCTAACAGGGTAGGTGGGGGTGAGGAAGCAGCCTTTCCCCAGGGCCCATCTGGTGTCACAGGGCACCAAACCCCTCTAAGGAGCAGGAAGTGGGGAGGAAAGTGGGGAGAGCCCAAAAATGTGGCCGCCAAAGGCAGCTCTACTAGCAAAACTGAAGCCGGGCTTAGCAGTCCTGTGTCTGGAGAGCATTTCTTCAGCTTCTATGAAAAGCTTATCCAAAAATTTTTCCCTGTTGAGAAGTGTGATGACACTTCATTCAGAGCTCCAGGAAAAACAATTGCCTGTGAATGTTTACATGAGGCTACAGCTTAGGCCCTCTCTCCACACCACTATAAATCACCAAAAGCTTTGCCCGAGTGAAGACAGTGGAACAAATTGCTAAGCTCAGCTCAGTACCCCCCTAGACCTTGAATGAGCATGTTCAGCATTGCTCAGTTACCCCAGGGATGCAGGTATGGGGCCAGACCCCTCCGTCACCCAGCAGCGCATGTGAGCATCTCCTGGGATTCCAGCAAGATGCTGCGTACCAGCAAGGTGGCTGAGTTTGCTCCAAACGCACCTCATCGCCAAAGGGAAATAAAGGCTAGCCACTGGTGTTTTCTTGTGGCG